ACCCCCAAGGTCTGACCGAGAAGGAGGTTCTGAGAGATCACTTCCCCGAAGGTCTTTCCTGTCCATTAGCCCTAGAAGTAGTGATTCCGAAATCCCTTTGAGAAAAGGTCTTAAAAGGAGAGTGGCATGAACTACACAGTCAGCCACAGACAGAGGCATAGGGCTAATTCTGCCCGTTTCGTCCCCTCACTTCGTGTCAGGAGTAACCATTGGTTAACCAAACAGAATGTGCTAAGCCCTGAATATCCAGACCAGAGATACGTCCCCGCTGTCCAGCGGTACCAAGTGTGGTGGTCGGCAGTGTGATTCACACAGTAGGGAGGAGATACAGAGGGGAGGGGAGGAGGTCCAGGAGGCTGGCGTGTCACGGGAGTTTGGTGATGAAACCTGGGAAACCAACACGTGTCACCCAGGTAGAGCTGTTCCCACTCGGCTGCTACCTATCTTGTGTGTGTCCTTTTCGGCGCCTCCGGGTCGGTCTGTTGCCGCTCACGGCCCCCAGGACTGTGCCTTGAGATGCACTAGAGGAACGTCTGTGTCCTCCGGCCTGGAGTCTTGTCCTTCTGTCTCCGCTGTACCAGGAGACTGAGCCCTTTCCTGCTCTGCCTGGGCGCTGATGGCATCTCGAACGAGCCGCAGTGCCCGTTAATGACGGCTCTCTTTGTCAAGTGTCAGTAGCACCAATTAAGTTATTTCCGTGCAGAGCCTCCCTCTGTGAGGAGGTGTGGGGGTGGCGAGAGTCATTGTCACCCTCCCACTGCACGTGAGTTGTGCTGGGTACAGTCAGGAGAGAAAATTGTTTCTCCTTCATTAGGAAGTTCTTCGGCATCTGACTGGTGTTGGGGGGAGAAATGGATTTGTGGTGGGTGTGACTGAGAACCCTTCCCACTCTCTCTCCGAGGCCCCGCGGGGACTGTGTGCATTTGTTGTCTGAGAGTTTGTACCTTGGAGGCTGTGACATTTTAGAATTACAGCTGAGGGGCGCCTGGGTGGCTCAGTCGGTTAAGCATCCAACTTTGGCTCAGGTCATGATCTCACGGTTCATGAGTTCAAGCCCCACGTCGGGCTCTGTGCTGACAGCTCGGGGCCTGGAGCCTGCTTCGGATTCTGTGTCTCCCCCTCTCTCTGCCCCTCCCCCACTTGTGCTTGCTCTCTCTCTCGCTCTCTCTCTCTCTCTAAAATAAATAAACATTAACAAAAAAGAAATACAACCAAATTCTTGCCAGTGGTATAAGATTAATAACGTAATACAAGGGAGTGTGGCCAGTTCTCAAAGTGAAACCTGGCCTCTCCCAAGATCAGAGCGAGAGTGGCCTCTTGCAGAACTACAGGCTGCAGGCCCCAGGCTGAAAGGATCGGGGAGAGGGTAGGAGGTGAGGAGAATTCAACAGGTTGGCCAAACAAGGGGAGCCCACTGTAGGACCCAGAGGAGAGCAGGAGAGAAAATATCCCAGCAGATCCCAGAGGTTCGTCACGATTTGGGTGGCCGTTTCAAATTGTCAGGAGGGTTTTGAATATTGCCTGAGAATCGGTGTTTTCCAAGAATCACTGCGAGATGAAAAGTAGCTATTTATAGGGATGTAGGCAGGCTTGTTCAATGTCCTGAGAACATTTGGTTTCACGAATCAAATCAAAAGAGCAGTTGGAATCAACACACATTAGTGTGGTTTGCCATTGCGTAATTCTTTAATTATTTTAGGTTGGTGAGAATATCATTTCCAAATCAATCTACTTTCTCTTGTTTATTGTCACATTACACATCCAAGGACTTTCACTCTCTGTGTGTTTCAAGTGCAGTTCAGAACTTCACCCCCAAGGCAAGTGATTTACCTGCCAACAGTTGGTTAAACAATGTTTATTGTGTTGTTGATAGGACCTAGGTAAGACACAACACCAGGAAGAACAAGAAATGTTTGGCACAGGTATACAGACCTCCACCCCCAGTATCGCTACCTTGATATTTGCTTGTTAACCATTGAGAACTTCCCCCCAACACCCATGCTACCGATCTGGCATCTCTCCGTCAGTGGCTCCCTTTTGTCCGTTGCGAGAATAGAAGCATCTGAGAACGATCCAGACACCGTTTCTTTATCTTTTTTTTTTTATTTTATTTTTTTTTTAATTTTTTTTTCAACGTTTATTTATTTTTGGGACAGAGAGAGACAGAGCATGAACGGGGGAGGGGCAGAGAGAGAGGGAGACACAGAATCGGAAACAGGCTCCAGGCTCCGAGCCATCAGCCCAGAGCCTGACGTGGGGCTCGAACTCACGGACCGCGAGATCGTGACCTGGCTGAAGTCGGACGCTCAACCGACTGCGCCACCCAGGCGCCCCTAT